TTTGTTTTTGTTAACCCTCACCTGAGGATATTTTTTTCATTGCTTTTTCAGAGAGAGTGGAAGGGAGGGAGGGAGAGGAAGAGAGAGAAAAAGAGAGGGAGAGAGAAACATCAGTGTGAGAGATATACATCGATTGGTTGCTCTCCGCACGCCAGGGATTGAACCTGCAACCCAGGTATGTGCCCTTGACTGGGAATTGAACCCAAGACCCTTCTGTGTTGGGCCAATGCTCTAACCATTGAGTAACACCAGCCAGGGCAGTATGCCTTTACTTTCTAGACATGATGCTATATACTTTTAAAACTTTCCTTTTGTTTTTGTTTAGAATTATCTCTTTTTTTAAGAACTGTAGCAGTAATTCAAAGGATGTCTTCCTTTGCTCTTTAAAGTTTTAAATATCATAATAAATTGAATCTAAGACATTACTGATTATAACGTGCAACATTATTTTATGCTCTACTAAGAAAGAAGAATAAGTTGGAATTAAACTATGACAAATAATTTCTTATCACTTAGCATTTTTATTTTGTACTTATTGACAGAGTTCTTTTAAACGTATGTAGGCATATGGACTTTTTATCATATATCATCCTTTGCAAACATAAAAAGGAATCTATGTATATGAGATAAAATGGTTGTTTTCCTAAAACTTCACCACTGCCAGCTGGCCACTACAATTGTAAGTTGTTACTGGTTGGATGATGCATCCAAACTTCAAAGATGTTAAAATGTAGAAGATGTATATCTTAGGATCAATGAAATGACATATTTTAATACCAAGTGTTGAAAGCTATATATTTTTTGTAAACCAAGTGGGAGTTATGTATATGGACATTACATCATGATTCCCTTAATTTCTCTGAGAGGTATTTAAACAAATAACTCTGATTTCAGGAAATTAAAAAACTCTTTGCATATAAAGTCTCAAAGAAACAAGTTCATTTTTTTTAATGGTAGATACCAAGGCTAATAATTATTGTATGAAAATTGAATCAACAGATTACACCAATAAAGACAGACTTGTTTTTTCTTCTCTTTTTAGGCAAAGGCAACAACAATCAAAGAAGCCCTAGCTAGATGGGTGAGTATATGAGTTTTTACTTCTTCTATAAACCATACAAGGAGAATTTTTAGATAATTACTTAAATCTGACCATTCAGTAAAAGGGATCTTTGTGGTATTGGAACTGTTTAGCTATGTTGACTGTGGTGGTGGATACATGAACCTACACAGGTAATAAAAATGTATAGAACTTAATACACTCATACAAACACATTTATACCATATGTAAAATTGGAAAAATCTGATTTAAATCAGTGGGTTCTATTTCTGGTTGTGATAGTATACTTAGAAAATATTGTTAGGCAGCATATACTGGTAATTAAATTTTAAATTGTGTACTTAGTACCAAAGTTAAACTCTAAGGTAGAATTAATTTTTTAAGATTTTTTTTATTGCTTTTTTAGAGAGAGGGAGGGAGAGGGAGAGAGAAACATCAACTGGTTGCCTCTTGCATGCCCCCTAATGGGGATTGAGCCCACAACCCAGCCACGTGCCCTGACCAGGAATCGAACCAGCTACCTTTTGTTACATGGGAGGACACCTAACCAACTGAGCCACACCAGCCAGGATGAAGGTAGAATTTAGTAGTAAATTACTGTAGAGCAAATAGTTTTGACCTCAGCTGTGTTGTAAAGAGAATATCTTCCAAAATTCTTGGTATTTGGGGGTTTTAGTTCAGACTGACTTGTGTATAAAAATAGAAAGGCAAGATGACAAAGAAAACAGTTGATCTTACAGGTCTAAATCTGATATTTAAGGAAAGGTTGATTGGGGACAAGGAATTTTTCCCAGGAAAATGTTTTTGGTGTGTTTTTTTTTTTTTGCTTTTGTTTATTAATTGATAGGCTCTTAAGGGATTTTAAATATTACAGAAATTAGTTCTCTTCTTTCCTCCTTTTTTCCATTTGGTTGGGACCTAATAATGAACTATCTTAGTTGGCCATGTAGAAGCCTGGTTATCAGAGTCAATAGTAAAAGTCAGTATGTAAACTGTAAAGAATGTACAGAACTACTAAATTCTAATAATTGTTTTGAAATAAAGATTGAAAAGCCTTGGGAAATTCGGTCCTCCTTTAACTCCACATGATACAATTACGGATCATTTTCTTCCAAATTAATTTTTATCACAGGAAGAGAAAACCAGCCAGAAGTCATCTGAAGCCAAAGAGGTAAAGCTTTATGCCCAGATTCCTCCCATAGAGAAGATGGATGCATCCTTGTCCATGCTTGCCAACTGCGAGTGAGTTCTCATCTTTATTCACCCTCCTGGTTGGCTAAACAACAATTAAAGAATTATTCTTCCACCATACTCCCAGATTTAAGGAACTCAGGTTTTCACTAGTAGTTTTTGGGAGTGGGGATGACTAGAAAATTTGCAGATTTGATCAGTAATTTATACTACACGGTAATTGACTTTGCTGTTTCAAGTAAAAAAATGAGTAATTCCTCTTCAAGTCAAATCAGAACAGATATGATCACATGTTCTACAGCAAACGTTTCAGGTTTTGAATTTGGCTCTGCCACTTTTTGGCTACGAAATATTAGGCAAATTGTTTAATATCTTTGTACCTCAGTTCTTCACTTGTAAATTATGGATAATAATAATATTTATTTCACAGGATTGTTGTGATGGTTAAAATAATTAATACATGTAAAGTACTTAGAAGAGTAATAGGCATGCATTAAGTATTCAATGAAGTTATTTTTTATGATATTTTTTGCATGAAACTTACTAAGATATTAAACATTTTGTCAAGAAAGGAACACTAAGAATGTGTAATTATGCTCCTTTTAAAATTTGTTTTTATATAATTAAAGTATGTATGGGAAATGAAAAGTAGTTATCTCTGGGGGGATGTGTGGGGTGGTTAGGATTACATATGATTTCTTACAATATACATTTCTGAAAGATTTAACACATGAGAAAATAAATATCTCCATAATGCATATATATAGTTCTGCTTTTTACAAAAAGGGATCATATAAAATGTATTGTTTTGCTAGATGGTTTTAAAACTTAACTACATATCGTGGACATCTTCTCAAGTGGGTGTCTATAGCCCAGTCTCATTTGTTTTAGTGGCAGTATAATATTCCTCAGTTTATGGATATTTATAGATTTTTTTTCCCTCCCCATTTTTTCATTACAATAATACAATCAATAATCTAATTCATATAACTTTTGGCATTTGCATTAGTATTTCAATAAGATGTATTCCTAGAAATGAATTACAGATCAAAGAATATATGCATTAAAATATTTAATGGATAACGCCAAATTGCCCTCAAAGAGGTTTTTTTAAAAATTTTCTACAATGAGTATGTTTTAACTTTTGTAATCAGAAAAAAACTGTGAAGATTTCAAAATGAAGGAATACATGCCAAGTCTAAAGAGGGGAAAAAGGATTCAGTGTCGAAAGGAAGTATTACTTAAGGATCATCTTCTATGGGTATTAGAGAAATAATTTCTGATATACCATTTAAAATTTTTTCATATTAATCCAAGTTTTACTTTGTTCTTTTTAAGGAAGCTTTCACTGTCTACAAACTGCATTGAAAAAATTGCCAACCTGAATGGCTTAAGTAAGTGATCCACAATAACAGATGGTTCTTGGATTTTTCTAGTTATTGGAATAAACATTCCAGAGACACTACGTAATTCCAGAAATCGACACCTGTTTTAACCACAGTAATTGTCAGATGACAGAAAGAATATATAAATAATGTGTCTTAAGTTTGATTAGCCAAAGAAAATTACAGATACATGAGACCTGAATATTTTGAATATATTTTAAAGCTTTTATAGCCTGGCCAGCGTGGCTCAGCTGTTGAGCATCGACCTATGATCCAGATCATGGTGCAATTCTGGTTGGGGCACATGCCCAGGTTTCAGGCTTGATCCCCAGTGGGGGGCGTACAGGAGGCAGCTGATCAATGACTTTTTCATCACTGATGTTTCTATTTTTCTCTCTCTCTCTCTCCCTTCCTCTCTCTGAAATCAATAAAGATATATTTAAAAAATAACAATAAAGCTTTCATAGAGTTAGAATTGAGACATCATAAATAAAAAATCAGATATTTTTGTTATTTTTTTTGGTTCAGATTTGTCTTGTGTTTCATATTTGTTATATTTAAAATTTAATTTCTCACCATCCTTGTTTTTCCTGTGCTTCTTATCTTTGTTAATGACATCGCCACCTATCCAGTTGCCAAGGCCTCAGACTCCTGTGCTAGTTTCCTATGGTTGCTGAAACTTGATGGCTTAAAATAACAGAAATGTATTTCTTCACAATTCTGGAAGCCAGAAGTCTCAAGTCAGCTTCACTGGGCCAAAATCAAGATTTTTGACAGCCACACTCCCTCTTGGAGAGTTTAGTGGGGAGTCTGTTCCTCGTCTCTTCTAGATTCTGATGGCTGCCACATTCCTTGAACTACATCACTCCAAGTCTCTGCCTTTATGGTCATATTGCCTTCTTTTCTTTTATCTGTGTCAAGTCTTTCTCTTTTGAGGATACTTGTGATTGCATTTAGGGAACACCTGGATAATTGAGGGTACTCTCCTTATCTTAAGATCCCTAACTTTTTCACATCTGCAAAGTACTGATTCCCCATATAAGGCAACATTCACAGGTTTCAGGGATTAGGATGTAGTTATCTTTTGGTGAGCCATAATTTAGCCTACCATATTCTCCCTTTACTTCCCTCACGCCCTACGTCCAAATTCATCACTAAATCCTATTAACTCCGAAGGAGTTCTCAAATAATATGTTGTGTTTTCATTTATAGGAGCTACAGCTTTAATTTAGACTCTAATCATCTCCCCCTTAGATGGTATTTATCAAACATTTTTGACCACTTCCCACAGTAAGAAATATATTTGAATTTATGATTTAGTACATATATGTAGTCATGTAAATACACATATCAAATATATACATACACATGTAATTTGGAATAAAGTTGGTTAAACAACATTTACCTTTATAGCATAGGTTTTAGTCTAACTTTTTTATTTTTTTAAATGCTTGTCACAACCCACTAAATTGATTTCACCCATAATTTGAAAAACACTGCTTTAAGACTTTTGTAATGGCCTCCTAAATTGATCTCCTTGTCTCTTATCTTTCTACTCTTAGGTTGACTTTCAGCACTGATACCAGAGTTTTCTTTCTAAAAATATTATCCTCTCCCTGGCCGGTGTGGCTCAGTGGTTAGAGCATTGGCCTGCACACTGAAGGACCCAATTTCCGGTCAAGGGCACATGCCTGGGTTGCAAGTTCAGTCCCCAGCCCCAGTGAGGGTGCGTGTGGGAGGCAATCAATCGATGTGTCTCCCTCACATGGATGTTTCTCTCTCTCTCTGCCCCTCCCTCCTTCCCGTCCACTCTCTCTAAAAATCAATGGAAAAAATATCCTCAGGTGAGGATTAACAAAACAAAACAAAACAAAACAAAAGACGAATGCCAAGTTTAATTATCGTTTCTCCCTCTAAACACTTCTTTAAGCTCACATCATCATAATTACTCCTTTTTTGCAAACATTTATAACAGACTCTTGGATTATAATAATTATTACCTACTTCGTAACTATTGGGAATAATAAATGAGTTAGTGTATATAAAGGACTTAGAATAGTGCCTGGTATATATGTATAAATGATCAAGAAATATTAGTCATATTAGTCATTTTCATAGTTAGTGAGGAATATGTTCTGCCTTTTTAGATCATGAACTCCTTGGGGGCAAGCATCACATTTTAGTAATCTTTTTATCTTCTATTCCAAATCCCCATCTCCCCCAGTACCTTTGTAGTGCTAGAGAGGAAGTGTTTTCTATTACAGTTTGTGCATGAGATGATTCAATCTATTCCAATTTTTCAGTGATTCATTAAAACTGTAAGATGTCTTATTTTTTGCTTTGTAATTGAAATAACTTGCTTAAATCAGACTAAATTGATAACATTTGTCAATACAGATAACATGCTTTTCTTTTCATAAAACCATGATTATGACAGTAGTGAAAATGGTTAACCTATATAGGGCTGGCCATATGTTTTAACTAATATTCTTTTTTTTTTTTTTTTTTTTTTTTTTT